TTTCCACTTGCAATTCCAATGACAGAGTGCCAAGAAACAGTGTTTCTACCATGCCTCCCTTGTGTCTCCGTTACATAGAGATTCTTGTGCCTGCTACTTTCAACGAAGAAAAACACATCAACTGTCGTTTCACACTGATCAACACTTTGGGCATGGCCAAACCAAACATCGTGCAACAGTTCCCCCTGAATCAACAACATATCTCCACACTCAATGTAAACTGGAACAATGATAGTGTAAGGCAGCTGTCTTGCTTGTCTCTGGTAGTCAGCAACAGAAATTACACCATCATCACAATTGTAGAGTATGACCTTTCTCTTGATACAGTCAAGTGGAAGAAAAAATTGCTCTGAACTTGGTTTGGCTTTAACTTTAATAAATCCACTCCAGAAATCACTTGCTTGACTTCCATCCTCTGCAGTAAGAGGGTGGTACCTCTGCCCAATTTCCAATGTTGCATATACTATTTCTTCACATCTAACAGACAAAAAGTTGTATATCAATAACCCTGTCTCATGACCATTGATGTCTGCAACAACAGCCTCTCCAGTGTTGAGAACTGATCCCTGGTATCCCACATCCAACAGGAAGGCTTTACTTGAAACAAAGCCAGTTACAGGCACCTCACTTACAGACACATCCAATGTGTCTGCTATTTTCACTCTCTCATTCTGTGGCAGTGATTTGACCTTTGACATTGCACCCAATAGAAATGATCTTCGATTTTGAGGTTCCTTCTGTGACTCTATTTGAGCAATTTCAGTTGAACTGGCAAATCCCTGAAAACATAATAATTAGCACATACACAGTCATGAAATAAACAAGAGCAAGATTAAATTACAAATGCATTTTGCTATGTCAAATGTATTTAGTTTATAACAAAATTTCAAATCTCTTCTGCCAATGCTTTAACTTTACAGAACTGGTTGTTCAATTTATACTTCTTCAGCGTACATTAGCATTTAAGTCAAGATCTGGTTACTAATTCTCCTTTCTAGCTGTTACACATTTTGCTTTACATATAGATGAAAAAATTGGGGGGCATCTTTGGCTGACAAGTTTACTGACTCTCGTCACCTGTTTGCAGAAGAAGGTATTTATAATATAATAATTATTATAATAATTTTCCTTAATTATTAAGGAAAAGTTACATTGTGATCACTTCTGGGAGTTAAAGGTTAATCAAATTTGGAATACCATGAATGGCTCAGCAACATTTAAGTTGGGTAAGTAATGACTTAAGGGGACTACTTCAGTGCTACGAAATCAGCAAAACAAGGTAGGGATTTCAAGCTAAAAATATGGTGGAAATTTGCGTTAATTGCCAACATATGCACATAAAGTTTAAAACACTAAAACAGTGTGATTTATTTTTCAGCACTTTTCCCTCTGGAGACCTCTACGGACCTGTTTATTTCTATGGGTGGAAAAATTTTGAAGAAAGGTCTTTTGTCAGTGACTAGCTATTACCTGCATCTTTGTGTGTGTAACATAAACATTAAATTGATGTTTAAATGGCAGGGCACAGCCCCTTTTTGTTGACATTTAAAAAAGCATGAATTACCGTCATCATGTCAACTTTTCCGGCCTTTCTGTGATCAGCAGCTTGAAGTGGCTTCAAGAATTCTCGCCTGGATTCTGACTGAGCAAAAGTTGCTTCAATCCCTTTGCAGTTATGTGACTTTTTGACATATTGCTTTACAGCTCTCTCATAAANAATGATCTTCGATTTTGAGGTTCCTTCTGTGACTCTATTTGAGCAATTTCAGTTGAACTGGCAAATCCCTGAAAACATAATAATTAGCACATACACAGTCATGAAATAAACAAGAGCAAGATTAAATTACAAATGCATTTTGCTATGTCAAATGTATTTAGTTTATAACAAAATTTCAAATCTCTTCTGCCAATGCTTTAACTTTACAGAACTGGTTGTTCAATTTATACTTCTTCAGCGTACATTAGCATTTAAGTCAAGATCTGGTTACTAATTCTCCTTTCTAGCTGTTACACATTTTGCTTTACATATAGATGAAAAAATTGGGGGGCATCTTTGGCTGACAAGTTTACTGACTCTCGTCACCTGTTTGCAGAAGAAGGTATTTATAATATAATAATTATTATAATAATTTTCCTTAATTATTAAGGAAAAGTTACATTGTGATCACTTCTGGGAGTTAAAGGTTAATCAAATTTGGAATACCATGAATGGCTCAGCAACATTTAAGTTGGGTAAGTAATGACTTAAGGGGACTACTTCAGTGCTACGAAATCAGCAAAACAAGGTAGGGATTTCAAGCTAAAAATATGGTGGAAATTTGCGTTAATTGCCAACATATGCACATAAAGTTTAAAACACTAAAACAGTGTGATTTATTTTTCAGCACTTTTCCCTCTGGAGACCTCTACGGACCTGTTTATTTCTATGGGTGGAAAAATTTTGAAGAAAGGTCTTTTGTCAGTGACTAGCTATTACCTGCATCTTTGTGTGTGTAACATAAACATTAAATTGATGTTTAAATGGCAGGGCACAGCCCCTTTTTGTTGACATTTAAAAAAGCATGAATTACCGTCATCATGTCAACTTTTCCGGCCTTTCTGTGATCAGCAGCTTGAAGTGGCTTCAAGAATTCTCGCCTGGATTCTGACTGAGCAAAAGTTGCTTCAATCCCTTTGCAGTTATGTGACTTTTTGACATATTGCTTTACAGCTCTCTCATAAACGGCACACCAGAAATTGTCTGGGGAAGAAAAGTTAATGATGTCTTCATGTATGTGAGTCAAATTATGAACTGATATTGTACACATGTGTAGTCCCTGAATTTCTTCAATCTGAATGTTGAGCCGCCATGCTAACTGTCTGTGCATTTCAATCGTGTCAGCATTCCATAACCTTCTGCCACTATAAAAGTGGAGTTCTGTAAGTCTTGAAGCAAGCGATTGGATTTCTAATTCATGCCTGTCATCCAGTTTGCCCATAAATATACAGTCAGCCATAGGAAAGGAAAACTTCTGCAGCCCTTCAGCTTTCCACTGACCTACATGTGTTCCTTTACAATGTGCAAGTGATCGTGGAATTCTCCCAGTTTTAAGATCTTGTGTCCAAGGAAATCTAAATATGATGGATCAATGAGCTTCATGTCCAGAATTCTCTCTAACTGATTTTTCACAACATTGAGGCAGATAGTGTGAAAAACATCAAATACCAGGTGCTTTAGGATGTCAAAGCCATACAAAGGGTAAAGGTATTTATGAAGGATACTTGTGCCAGTAAAACCTTTAGTAGATGACATCGTTTTGCGTACACTTACTCTTGTTTCTCTTGTCAAACATGTCACCAACAGAAGATTCAATAGATCTCTCTTCCCAAGGATATCTAAAGTGGTAGCGGTTTTCTCCATAGTACACATGTGTGTTTGTGCTGTTTTCCAGTAGTTTACCAACTACTTTACATCTCCTACATCCAGACTTTCCTTGATTCAAGAATTTGCCACACTCACATTGTCCAGGATGATCCCCTGTCCAACACAGAAGTAAAACACGCACTGTCTCCTCTTCGCTAGTTTGATAGCCCTCTATCTCTATCTCCCTTGGATAACTGAAAACCTTGAAACCATCAATGAAACCTGTGGATATGTCCTGCAGTAGAGGCTGTAGAAATGGGTCAAGAGCTTCAGGCAGGTTAGGAACCTGGGAGCAAGGAACAAAACCAACAATGTATACTTCTTCTACATGGCTCCTATCATTCTTAGTCATGTTAGCAATGCTAACTTCAAGTGATCCACAGCCTCTATAACTAGTTCCAAACGGCTGCCACCCATCCCAGTGGCCTACCAGTGCCAAATTCAAAGGAGATCCACTGGTGACTTTAATAAAGTGTTCAAAATTTTCAAAGCAGTTTGGGCATTCCACATCTTTACTCCCATCTTTGCCATTTGGAGAATTGAGCTACTTATCTGATGAAACTGGTAGGCTACAATGAGGACACAGTGTTGGCAAAGTCCAGGTGCTCTTAGGGTCCCAGAACCATTGCAGTTCAACCCATCGCTCACCATGCCAGAATTCACATTTTTCTGGATTGCTGCTTTGGCGACCAAGCCAACTATCACGTGCATTCCAATGGGACAACATTTTTCTGCACATATCTACACTTTTGAACCAATTCTTCTCTTTTGTGCTCATGCCTAGGTAATAGTATTTTAGATAACCTTTTTTGCCACAATGAATGCACAAGTCATCCTTATTCTCCAAAATGCTATAATTTCCAGTGTAAACAATTTTTTTACTAGTTTTTCCATTTCTTGTTTGTTCTTTCTCATTCCAGCAAAAGCAAACATAAAATAATTTGGCATCTTCATATCCTTCCTCTTTTAACAGCTTCTGCACTGAGTTCCAGTTTCTTGGCCACAGGGTTAGCACAATTTCGCGATCTATATTGTCACTGTTATGGCTGGCTAGCAAAAGAGTTTTACCACAATTCAAGATGTCCTCAAATGTTTGGCAAGAAGATCCACTTCCCTTCACAATCCTGAGAGCGTCTAGAACGGCATTAACGACTAATTTCCTCAATGGGTTGGGATCTTTTTCTTCAGTTTTACCAGTGGCGTTTTTCTCTGTTCTTGCGGCTCTCGGCAAGCATGCACAGCTTCCGTCTTCGTCTTCATCCCTTTCATTATTGCTGTGGTATTGCATAACTTCAATATCTTCATCCATCTGTTCTTCCCCATCCGAGGGACAACTTTCAGTGGGATTGAAACTACGTCGTGGTAAAGGTTCACGAAACTCATCCAATGCAAAACAAGTTTTGGAAACAATTTGACTTTCTTTCCAATGCCTAAGTTCGGTACCTCTATCCACTGCTCGTCCATTGCAGCTTGAACAAGGGCAATGAACATGCCGATATGACTTATCACTGCAACATCACGATGTGATGCTGCTTCCAGTCCAAATCGGATTACTTTTGCTGCCACTTTCCAGTGCAGGACGTAAGTTTGCCGCCATATTCCTTTTTTGTTAAAGAAGGTAGCTGTCCTAATAACAGTGGGCTCAACTCACTGAGCAACCATTTGTTGAAGAGTATGCCAGCAATTCATTCGCCCAGCGGCCTTCAAACACCTTATCCAATAAGGTCCAAGTATAGAAAACACGTAAATGACGTAGTGAAAATGGCGCGAAAATTATCCAATAACAAATGCATTACTATTATACATGTAGGTATAACTTAGTGGCACGTTTTTCTCTCAGCCTTTCTCGCTGTTTTTTTCTTCGGTGAGGCTTGCAAGATGGCAGCAGAAGAATCTGAGATTGTTATCGCTTCAGAAGTAAGCAACGTATCCAACACGGAGTAGTCTTTATTAGAAAAGATTCAAGCCAAATTTGGGGAAGAAATAAAGACCGCTTTTGAAAGTAAGTCTGTTTTTCTCACGGCAGCGTGCACAGTTTAAAGATGTGAGGCTGTGGTTTGAACGAAGCTTGACACTTTACTTCATGTAAATAGAATGTTTTTTGTGTTCACTGCAATTCATCTAACTGGAACTGCTGTAGATTGCTTTATTCCAAAGAGTGTCAATAATTCAACACTGGATATGTATCTGAAATTAAACATTAAACTCTTGTTTCTTAGAGGAGGAGATAATTGATGACGCTTCGATTGAAGACTTGACTCAGAGAGAACCGGACGCGCCAATATTTTCGAGATTGGGTTTAACGTATGGAAAGCGGTGAAATTTAGAAAAGAATTTGGAAAACACGTACTGTCATTGCAGTCAAGACCATCGTCTCCACAGGTTAAACCAACAATGGCGGCTATTGCTGGCTTTTCACCAGAAATGAAGCGACTATATTTAGCAAAGTAAGGCGATTTTCTACTAACTCATTGTTGACTATGGGCGTTCTGGTTATATTAACCTTTCGGGCCCGGAAAGCTGTTTCAGGTTTGCCTGTTTAATTCAAGGTCAACACGAAAATGACGCACGATGAAACAATCAGTTAATTAACTGGCTTGTGAACCAGGAACTGTGCTTAACTATTCAGCAGGTTTTGATATTACAGTTTCTTCCCTGTGTTAGGGCCAGCGTTCAATGGGTTTAGTTTGGGTTGATATTCAGCACCATAATGTACTCTAACAGATAATTCTTTGATCCATCATTTGGAATAGTAGTATGGCCGGCCTTTTTTGCTAAGTTTTCAGTGTCAAGTGTGCTAGCTTGTAATATCATATAATTTGTCACCTAACTATTAATGCTGATTTCTTCTGTTCCTGCGAGTTTTGTGTTTGAGTATGTTGTAGGTTGATAAAAGTTCACTGATGTTAAGCAATTTCGACCTAATTTGTACTTGAATTTCTTTTGATTCATTTCTATAAGAAATCAGAAGCAAATGAAATTCAAATATGAAGTGGATTAAAATCATGCATTTTAGCTTACACTAATGGTCAAATGTCTTACATCTTCAACTCCTTCACATTTTCACAATATTTGCTCCTTCACATTTTCACAATATTTTACAGACGCAAACAAGTGGGAGTACTTGCAAGTGAGCACTGGAAACACAAGTTGCCAAAATTCAATACACCAGAAAAAAAAGCTGAGCTTGAACAGTTTGCTAAGAAGATCTCTGATGAATGTTCACTGCCAGAGGCTGGCTTTTTCACAGATGGTATTGCTCAGCATATTAAAAGCTTCTTCAGTGAGCAACGAAGATTCCATAAAAGCAAAAAGGTATTGGGATTTATGTTAATATATGTTGGTTGGCATTCTATGATATATTGCGAGATTTGAAAGGGCAATAATACTAATAATAATTATTACTAAAACAGTCAGCCATTGGGCAATAATTATTGTTGTACAATGGCTGACTGTTTTTCATCTTGAAGTTGAATTGTGTCATTACAATAATTAATTATTGCTAAATAGGTTTCCTAGTCTCTTGGCAACTCACATCTATAATATTCCAAACCTGCTTCTATGTTATGAAAAAGGTGCCATCAGTGCTTTGGCATGTTATTGACAGAATATCATCTTCCTAGGTTGTAGTACTACCATCTTGTTCAGAATCCAGTTCCAACAGTGAAGTAGAATTGACACCTCCTCCCAAGTTGCCATCTATGGTAAGTCATGGCAAGATGCTGCTTGTTTAATATGTTAACATCCTCTTTAATTAAAAGTTAATACCATGAAGAGAGCAAAAGCAGGTGTCGAGTCTAGGCAATAATAACTTTTTCAGTCAGTCAGGTGCACTGTTTTATTTTTTTTAATGTGCAAGATATATAATTTATTTGAGGGTGGTGCTTTCTAACAAATTATAGCAAAATGAAGTAATGCACTGCATGTTTAATTCTTTTAAACAGCCCAAAGAAGAGGATGAAAAGAATGCCAAGAAAAAAAGATTTTCTCCACCTGAGTTATTGCAATGGAAACCTGTTTAAGCCTTTTATAAAGGAAAATATTTGTCATGATGAAAAGGTACATATAATCATGGTGTGGGGTTGTGTTGGGTCTTCAGTTTCAAGCTGGAACACTTAAACACCTTTCAAATGTTTAGGATTTTCATGAAAAGGCAACTTAATGCACCTCAAATGGTTGTTGTTTTAAATCCTTCCTGGCCATCTTCCCAATAAATTTTGACAATTTAACAAAGGGGATAATCTTGTACTGCACAGCCTCAGTTACAATAAAGGATCATTTTTCCCATTATCAGTCAGGTTGTAGTCACCATGCAAAAACACTTAAGTAAAATTCACTTTAAAACCTATAAAGCTTGTATTTGTCAAATCGCTGTAAATTTAAGGCTCTACTGTGTGTCTTTAGGATGATGATGATAACCATTCAGAGGGGTCCACAGATACAATGATAGTAAATGAGGAAGAAGAAGCCTCTGGAGAATCAGCTGAACCAGATATCAGAGATAACAAGATGTCCAAAAAGTCAGCAATGGTGATAATTAAAGCAGTAACTGAAAAAATTCCAGATAGAGAAGAACTGGTCAAACAGTTAAAAGGAAGGTTTCAGGTTACCTAAAAGAGTTTAACAACACTTTCAGTAACACAGCTTTTAGAAGTTACCGCAAGAAAGCTAATTAAATTTAAGTATGTTTCATTAAAACTTGGAGTTGGCCTTGCCGATATCAAAAGGGCTGACATTACTGTTAACAGGGAAATTGCCTTGTAATAGTGTTGTTACCCACCATGTTTAGAGTTGACTTTAACTTGCAGATACTTCTTTGTATTTAAACTAGTATTCGGTGCATTCTTGAAATTTGTGTTTGATTTGTGAAACAAGAAAGCATTTCCTACCTTTGACAGATGTTGTGAAAATAAACGTTCTTGTTAAAATACTGTGAGATATAATTCTTTTTGGGGGAGGGTGGGAAGATACTAGGACAAATACTTTCCACTTTTGTGAAAATACTGGGAAAGATAATGCCCCATTTTATTGAAACAATAGGACAGGTAAATCCTAGTCTTGTGAAATTATATAGGCAGGAAAATCCCAGTCTCTGGAAATTGTTGGGACAATGGAATCCCAATTTTTTGAGAAATTATTGGGACAAAAGAATCCCAGGAAATGGGAAATTTTTGGGACAAAGGAATCCCAGGAATGGGTAATTGTTGGGACAAAAGAATCCCAGGAATGGGTAATTATTGGGACAAAGGAATCACAGTTTGGGGAAATTGTTGGGACAAAAGAATCCCAGTTTGGAGAAATTGTTGGGACAAAGGAATCCCAGTTTGGGGAAATTGTTGGGACAAAACAATCCCACTCTGGGCTAATTATTGGGACAAAGGAATCCCAGTTTGGAGAAATTGTTGGGACAAAAGAATCCCAGTTTAGGGAAATTGTTGGGACAAAAAAATCCCACTTTGGGGTAATTGTTGGGACAAAGGAATCCCAGTTTGGGGAAATTGTTGGGACAAAACAATCCCAGTTTGGGGAAATTGTTGGGACAAAACAATCCCAGGGATGGGAAAATGATGGGACATCTTTATTCCAACATTGGGATTTTAATGTGATTTTTTTGACCTAAAAATGGGTTTGGTAGCACTTTCACAATTTTGGGAATTCCCAATAAAAACCTTACAAATTCCCAGTAAAATCCCTATTTAATCCCTTTTTGGGGAATCTGAAATTTTTCCTGTGGATGGTAAGTATCTATGAGAACTTTGTCTACTGTGGTGGTTTACACCTTAAAAGCTGGAATAGAAATTTAAGCTTGGGAAAAGCTATTTGGAATTCATTTGTAATAAACCTTGTCATGGTTTTAGATGCCACTTGTTTTAGAAGGCAAACAGGTCAGAAATTAATTACAATGGTTAAATGAGAAACTAATATGAAATGAAATAAAATTTTGTAGCCACTTCTTAGAAATTCGAGATCTCACAAAAGCTTATAGCGTGATACATTTAAGCTATGTCATCATTCTCAAAACAATAAAATTTATTGTTTTGAGAATGAAGAATAAATGAAAAATGATCGAATCATTTTGAGGGGTGTACAACTGACTTACATGTATTTATGTCACAATCTTTGGCATGGCCATGGCCTCTTCCAGTTTTATGATGTCAATTGTTTTATTATTGTCAGTTGTAAACTATTAAAACTAGTACTTCTCTGCATTCACCATGTTGGTATACAAGTTGTCTAATTAAATGGAGATGCCAGCAACAAAAGATGAAAGTCAAAATTTTCTTAACCCAGAGGCTATATTAGAACTATACATTAACTGGAAGGGAAGTTGCACATGCCTTTTATATTTTAAAAGTTAAGGTTAACAAACTTATTCTGTTTTCAGCACACTGGGATGGTTGGCAGCCTTTTAGTTCATCATTACGTAGTTGTGGAGCTATTGAGGTTACTATAGCAACAATGTCAAAGGTGGAAAGATGCAAAGCTGAGGAGGTGTATGTGGTAGGATTCGTACCATCACATATGCTCCCCAATAAAAGGCCTATATATTTAGATCCTTTCTGAGATCCATTTGTTGCTGATATTGAGGATGGTTTCATCAATGGCATTCAAGTAAACTATAAGGCAGCCACATGTGGGAAACCAGCTGAAGTTACAACCTTAAGGCATTTAGTGTTGTGCTTTTCTGGGGACCATTGCGGTTTGTGTGAAGTCGGAAAATTTACAAAAATGGGAAAGTCTGGTTGCCGGCGTTGTAAACCTGAAAGTGTATACATTCCAGAAACAAATCATTATTAGTATCCAAACTTCAGAAAACAAGCTCGCTTTCCTGCAGAAAAGAAAAGCATAATGGACAACTTAGAATTATTGTACAAGATTGCCTCAGAGGAAAGAACTAGTGTCAGACAGCATCTCTCTAAAGAAAGTGGCTACACAGGACTCTCTATCTTACATAGGCTGTATTACCTATATGGCTTTTTCTACGATAGACATCTTGTCTATGATGAAATGCATACAGTTCACCTCAACCTTGTGAAGAATGCACTTAAGAACTTGAAAGAGAATGAGGAAAATGAAGTGGACTGGGCTACAGCTGATAAGCAGTTGAACGATTTCCCTTGGACTCCGCAATTCAAATGTTCACGCATCCCAAAAGGTATTGAGAAGCGTCTTGGGTACTGGAAAGCTGATGATTTCAATAAGTTTGCTTTCCCAGCCTCTGAAATGTTATTAAGTGGTCTTCTTTCCTTGGATCAACAAAAGGAATGGCTATGCATTGCTCGCATGGTAGAGTTTCTTCAAAACCATGCCAGGCATGGATGGACAGAAAGTGATGCAGATGCTTTTCAGGAAATGGCATTCAGATATGCAATTTTGCTTGAAGACCGAAATGGCCCAACAGCATGTACAATGATTATTCACAATCTTCTTCATTTTAATGAGGACACATGTAATTTTAGTGGCCAAGACAATTACTCTTGCTAGAACAAAGAGCGAGCAGTAAGGCGATATGTGCATCAATCCAACAATCAAAAGAACATTGAGTGCACTTTTGCAGCCACAGAAGAACGCCGTGAAGCACTTAAGTTTAGAAAGGAGCCTGAAAACCTTGGACCTGACCGCGCTAAAACAGACCCAAACAAACTGTGGGCAAAATCCATTGAACAGGCAAAGAAACTGTATTATTCCAATACGCAAGTGCATTCCCTGGCAAAGAAAAGTGGTATGATTGTAGGAGGTGCAAAGCCATTTACAATGAATGATGTGGTTCGTCAAACCATCTCCAATGAGCATTCCGTACTTGTTACAGATGTTGAAGTGGATGGCACTTGTTGCCGCAGTGCCTGGTTTCCCACTCATGCATATGATGGCTTACTCTACAGAGAAAATGAGCATGCAATTGTTATACGTGAAGTGGGAGAGAGAACTGTGAGACTTGAATTTTTTCAGTGCCTTTGTTTGTGATACATGGCAACTCTTTTTCAAGGCAAAGGAATTCAAAGATGTGGGCTACAGTGATACCGGATGGAAGGTAGTTGGAGAAAAAGACAATGAAATAGTTGTACCTCTCCAGAATATCAGCAGAAAAGTGATGCTATCGGTTGAAGACACTGGCAGACCTACATATGTGGTGATTGATTTCATGAGAAGAATATTTCCAGTCAATGCTGGTACAGTGGTTGTGTCCTATTATCCTGTTAAAAATGACATGATTTTAGTACAAGGTGACGATGAAGATTCCTTCTGGAAAGCCCACGTTATTAAATACAACCTGAAACAGAAAACTTTGTTCGTTTTTTCGTGAAACGTGCAGGTGACAACATATGGGTTCCAGAGAATACACGAGCTCAAGATGTTCATTTAGACAGTGTCATCGGAATTGACTTTGAGGGAACATGGGCTAATCGCTATACTCACTGGGAAGAATATTAGCCTTAGAGACTGGATGCTGTAACAGCCAAATTTGTTGACTACTGTTGACGGCTTACCAGACATTTTCATTTACTACTTTGCGTATTCAACTGAATTAAGTGTCTAATTTTACATTGTAAAGTGGTTTTGCCCTATTGTGCAGCATCTTTATTAACATGTAAATGATTTACATGTAATTATTACTATTGCTGTATTACAACAAAAACCTACACATAAGAACCTGGCTAATGAATTAGCTGATAGACTTTGAATAAGTCAGTTGAAGGGA